GGTCTCTTTCTACGGCTTTCTTCATGCGAATAGTCTGTTCTTTGCATATGTATGCAATGGCGTAGGTGTCAAAGTCACCAGGGCCGATATCGATTGTCTGACTGTTCTCAGCAGCAGTGTCAGACAGATTTTCATCGTCATTGTCTTTATTTCCCTCACATCTACCAGAGATGTGGTGACTGGCACCTTCGGCAGCCTGCCTGAACGTGGGTGACACAGTTCCTGTATCTGCTGGTTTTGCCATTCTTTCGCTCAAGAACTCGTTTCTGACGAATATTGCTTTTGGTACGGTGTTGGATGGCATATTTTCAGCCATGGCTCCAAGATCTCTTCCTTTGTTTAATTCTATATGTAGTAAGTCATAAGAAGAAACCAAACTGATCCTGCATTTAAATTGCACAACATATTTCAACAGCGTCAGATAACATATGTATAATTACGAACATTATAATAATGCTACAGTCTGCCTTGATGTTCTACGTTGAAATTCTGTGATGGTGATGATCATGTTTAGTCTTTGCTTATTGCTATAATTTGATTCTCAGAACACAGCGCACATTTTAAACAATTTTTATCCTCAACCTGTATCGCTATGTGCACTGTAAAGACCACTGGAAAAAAGTCAGACAGAATCAATACATCTTTGTATCATGTAGATGAAGATCATGTAGATGAAGCAGCCCACGAGTCGTCTTCTGATACCAGACAATTTCATGTCAGTACTGAGATCATGAGTTTGAACTACGTGTTGTCCTGACTGGGGTTGTTTTTTTTTTACATTGGTGCTTTTACTTAAAATTGTTAAGCCGTTCCTCATATAGTGATATATTACATGTTTCTCGGCTAACTTGATGTCATACATGTTCAGTTATTTCTTTACGGTGGAAATATAGGGTTGTTTAAGCAGGGACTTATTATCCGTGCGTGAAGCACGTGTTGTTCCAGCTGAGGTTGAAGCTGACATGTTGGTTTTACTGAATGTTATTTTAGCGGTTCCGATATGCAACATGATACTCGGTGAACTTGAGGTTTATCCTCATAGATTTCAATTCTTTCTTTGTGGGGAAAATATAGATGCGCCTTAACAGTTGTATTACCATGTAGTGCCGTGTTTAAATTACAACACACTGTTAGTTCGTAACAGCTGGAGTCATTATAAAAATTACAAATTACATTACATTGCATTACCAAACCTATCAACACATTTACATTACCTACACCTTGGAGTGCTACTGTAAGGTGATATGGAGATATAGAGAAGAAAACTTCAGACATTTTGTACTTACAGTAAGGG